TGCTTGTATGGGAACATCACACCGAGCCCATGAATATGCTCAACTCATGTGTGTTACCAAACATTTAAAAAAAGAGAATAAATACATTGTTAAAATTTTTAAAAATCGAGTTGAACTTCCAAGAGGAACAGAAGGCAATAAATCAGCTTTTGGAGAAGTGAAGTGAATCAGTTGCTTTAGTCCAAAGCATTTTTTTTCCATCATTAAATGTTACACAAATTATAGCCCGGAGATCTAGAAATCCATTTGCGTAAAAGCTCAGGTAGGAAAAATGTCAAGATAAAAATGAAAGGTTTGGCCTATGGAACTTTCAATGATTTTCACTGCTCTTGCTTCCCCCTCCCTTCACTGATATGTGTGCTGCTTTGTTTATGTTCAGATTTCTTGAATCAAATTCAAGGGATCCCTTTCCTCTCTCTTCTGTATTTGTTTCCTATCTTCTCTCTTTCTCCCTTAAAATCCTGAGTAAAAACATGGCAGGAGAGCTCTGAATAGGCAGATTTATTCAGGGCTGGTGGGAGGTTTTGAGATGATTTTTTTCCCCTGTGAAAGGGGCCCTTGGAAAAGTCTTGCTGTCTCCTGGGGAGATGGCGGGGGGCCGCAGGAGTTTCCTGAGAAAGGTGCTCATTCTGCCAAACTCCAAAGTGTGAAGCAAAGAGTCATCAGACTTGCAGATAATGGGGACCCTGTTCTGCTCAATGCTTGCCCTGGTGATGTGAATCTAGCTAGAAGACTAGAAGTATTGCACAGGGGTGAGACTGAATATCACCCCTCCCAAGTTCAGGAAACCAACTATTCAGGCTGTTCCTTTGGAGGATAGAAAACATTTCTATTGAATATTCACCTTAATGCTAGTTTGTCAGTAGGAGTTGAGCATTCACGGTAAAGTGTTTCTTTCATTTCTTTTTTAAAGCACAGGAAACTTTGGTGCAGCAGGAGCCTTATTATGTGCTAAATCAGTCAGAGTCCAAGGACAACCGTCAGAAACCTAGTACCATGTGCCAGTCTAGCTAAAAACGGGATTGAATGAGAAAACCCCAAGCAGAAGCCACAGTTCTCCATGTGCTTCTGTTGCAATCCCAGAGAGGCAGCTACTGGGTCTCGGACGGCAGCTTCCTATAGTCAAATGCACAAAGGATTTAGTGCTCTGAGTCTGCAGTCTGTCTCTGTTCCCTGGCTATGCAGTTGAGGAGTTGACCTAATCTGTCCATGTCCCTTCACCTTCTTGGAAAACAGGGTTAACTGTAAGTCCAGAAAGAGATGAAATGTTAGATGGTGTGGCACACTGTTAAAATATAGTTTAGGCACCAATACCAGTAGCTGGAGTTATGCTTGACTGTTCTATCAGTCTCAGCAGGCTGGGTCCTGCATGCTGACAAACAACTCCAAAGAGCTCATGAGACTTCATTCTCACTCATGTAACTGGTGCACTGTGGTATGGGTACCAATCTATGCCCCTCATTATGGGGTCTGGCTGTCAGAGTGTCTCCAACCTGGGGCACTGCTGGGCTCATGACACGTGGCTCTCAGAGCTTCTACTTAGAAGAGCCACCAGCCTCCTCTATTAAGTTTTCATTGGCCCAAACCATTTATAGGCAAGTTCATCTTCAACTAGGCAGGAATATATACTTCTCCCACATAGGTAGAGCTAGAAAATGAGTTTTTTTGTTTGGGTTGGGTTTGGTTTTGGTGGGGGGTTTTGTTTTGTTTTGTTTTTTGAGACAAGATCTCACTATGCAGTTCAGGCTGACCTCAAACTCATACCAATTCTCCTGCCTCAGCCTCCCAAGTGCTGGATAACAGGGGTGTGCCACCATGCCTGGCCAAATTGGGAAATATTCTGAACAATATAACCTATCTTTTGTTTGTTTGTTTTTGGTTTTTTGCTGCATGTAACCCAAAACTCCAAATAGCAGAGGCAAATATAAAGGCAGCTCCTCTCTTTTCTAAAATAAGTCCCCTTGGGCTAATGTGGATGCTCCTAGCCATTGGGCAGGGCAGCCAGCCCAATCTTTTTGTTCTGCCATCCTCAGTTGGCATGCTATTTTCAAAAGATAGCAGAGAATTGTGTGTCCTTTTAAAAATGAAAGGGCAGGGAGGGTCCCTACTAAATGGCAAAGGTGTTCCATTCCTTAGCTACGCAGGGGAGAAACAGGGTAAATAGGAACTTGGGCCAACTGCTCAAAGTATAGGAACTGAAAAAAAAAGGAGACCACAATGTAAGAGAAAATCAACATAAAATGGAAGCAATAAAAGCACATTTATGCGCTTTGACACCAAATGGGTCCCGAGTGAGACTGTGGAACAGAGCTGCAATGTTCATAATGTTCGTAAGGGACACAGAACATGTCCATAAGGGACACAAAACATGAGCGTGATCGCACCTTTCTTGTTAAAGCCAGCAAGAAGGAAGGGGGGTGCTCCATCTTCCCATTTCTTGAGGTCTCTGGTGGCTTTGTTTGTTGTTCTGTCAGAGTCTTTTTCAAGTAGTTTTCACAGATAGGGATGTGAGTGATACACTCTGGATTTTTGCACATACATTTGTTCTGGGATTCTCCTGAGTCTTCTTAAGTGTGTGTCCTAATTTATTGCTAATGTGAATACCTGTCTCTATTTCACTCAGCCAAATTCCACTGGTTCTGATGGATCTTCACAGGAACCAAGTCCCACCCATCCAGCTCCTATCCAGGCACTCAGGCCTCATGCGCAGCTGCAGCCCAGGAATCTGCTGGTCGCCAAGGCCAAGGTTGCTCCAGGATCTTGGGGTTGCTCCATTGCTTAGCTATCTGATGCTGAGCTCCTCTGGGTGCAAAGAAAGTCCTCTCCCATTTCTGCCAAAGCGCAAAGGCTCATCTACCTTGCGTTCTCCATCTGAGAAAACCCTGGCTCAGGAATTAGCTAGCTCAGAGTTGGGCATTGCAGGCTCACTGCCTGCTCCCTTGTTACCTTCCCAAGTGATGCTTTTGAACAGGCAAGATTCTGTCCCTGTAGTTGCACATAAGATACTAGGAGGAGATGACTCAGCAACTGTTCTCACTTCCTGAGGCAGCTTTCTGAGAAACACAGCTGCTACCCCAGTGCTGGACAGGTGACTCTAGAGACCCCTGCCACGAGCCACTCCTTGGCCTTTGGGCTGTGAGTGCTCCGTCCTCTTTGGAAAGCATAACCAGGAAAGGTGACTGCAGGGCCCACCAGGATGGTGCTGCCAGCACCTTCTGCAGGGGAGGCCCAGCCCGGATGGCCCAGGCGTGGCTCTGAACCTCCATGGCAACTACTGAAGGAGCCCAGTGTCCCGGGGCATTGGGGCGGGGGCTGAAAGGCTTGTTTAAATGGCCTCACACAGTGGCCCTTGTTAGATGCAGCTCTGCACAAGCCTGACTGTATGCACGCCTGGTCAACAAGAAAGGGGAACTTTTCATATTTATTGGTGCCCAGACACAGGGCTACATTTTATTTTTGGAAAAATTATGGAGTAGCCCGGTCCTGCGGTATTGACTTTTCACTACCATGCTCAATGAAGTAGATAGATTGAAAGTACCCAACAGATGTGGTGCCAGTCCAAATGCATGTGGCCCAGGGGCCAGGCTTTAAATTCCAGCCCTCAAAGTCAAGGTGAAACGTGCCCTGGAAGCCTGGCACTAACTCAATTAAACACCATAATTATGTAAGTATAGATTCAGATCTGAAACGCTCCCTTTTTCACTGTATGATGTCAGTGGGGCACACTTCTGCTCAGACCCGTCCTTGGGTGACAGCTTTGATCTTAATCCAGTCTCCGCTTGCCTAGAAATGTCATAAGGCGGCAGGGCTCCACATGCTTCTGGCTGATTCTTTCAAATAAAGAGCCGATTGTGTGGTGGTCCTCACCTCTCCGCCTTCTGGTCCAGAATTCTTCACTTCTCTTCCTTTCCAAGAGATTAGACAGGACCTTCCTGGAGAGAAAATGGAACTCCACAGGAGGAACCCGGACAACAGCACCCAAAGCTGCTGCGAAGACAGGAAGCTTAAGTGCTCAGGCAGCGTCTCCTTTCTCTTTCCATCTCTCCTTCTTTGCCCCTTCCTCCCTCCACCTCCTAGTCTTCTTTCTCTTCCCCCTTTTCTCCTTTTTATTTTTGTCTCTCTGTCTCTGTCTGTCTGTCTGTCTCTCTCTGCCTCTATCTCTCTGTGACAGTAGGGTCTCCCTCTGTAGTCCAGGCTGATCTCCAAATGCAATCCTCCTGCCTCAGGTTCCCGTGCTGGGATTATAGGCATATACCACCTGTATATTAGTTTTCTATGCAGTGTAACAGCACCAGAAACTCGGGGGGTTCAAACAGTATACTAGCATTATCTTAGTTTCTATGCTCATGAGTCTGGGCACAGTTTTGCCGGGTTCTCTGCCCAGGGTCTCAAAGGCTGCAATCAAGTTGACCAGGCTGTGTTCTCACTTGAAGACTCAACTAGAAGATCATTTGCCCCCTAATTCAATCAGGCCATTCATTTACTTGAGATCATATGACTGAGAGCCCCAGGTTCTTGCTGGCTGGGGCTGGTGGTGGTCCTTATGCCCTTGAGGCCACCCTGAATCCTTGCCGTGTGACCCTCTCCACAAGCAGTTTGCAACGGGGCTGCTTGCTTCCAGAGACTCTCTTGCTCCAGTTTTATATAAGGTGGCATAATCCTGGGTAATGATAGCTATCAGCCCACTGCTGGGATCTACTGAATTGTCACAGGTTCTGCCCATATTCAAAGGGACAAGACTATACAAGGACCCAGCTCATTGGAGGCCATCCTCGGGTGTGTCCACCACTACCTGCACCCTACTGTCCAGAATTCTTTCTCCTCCAGGCAGGAGTTAGATGACCCAGGATGAGCTGCTTAGCTTCTCCACCCCAGGTCCCTTCTTTTTAAAATGAAATTAAGCCTGTAGTATTCTTGGGTAGGTCAAATGAAATATTCCATTCAAGCACAGGCACATAGTAAACACTCAATAAACATTAGATGTGATGATGGTGGTGACTGATACAGCGTTCACACTGGCACTGTGGGACTCATAGGTCTGGCGTGGGTATACAGAAGCAGAAAAGTAGTTCAGGCTATAGCTCCCTTCACCTCCAGCTACAAAACCCCTGTGACGCCAACATCCACATTTTTGGCTATTTGTGAAACCTCAAGAGAGATCAGCATCGACCAGGGCTCACAGCACGAGTGGGCTTCCGGGACCAAGTGCGAGAAGCCAAGGCAAGCATCTGTTCCAGTCTGGCTGTGATTGGGCCCTTACCTACGGGAAGCTCTCCTACATTCTAACTCCTGTGTCCTGCGCCTCCAGCTCTATTAACTGTTCAAACAGACTAGGAAGTCTTTGTCTATGATCACCAGAATTCCATAAATCCCATGAGAAAAATTCACAAAACAGGAAGTAAAATACACACCCAACAACCTTCCCATCCATCACTGTGGCAGCAACCAAAACAGACCTATCACAAAACATACAAGCCAAAGATAATGCCTTATAATAACTCACACCAATCATAGTAACAACAGTAACCCATAATGAAGCTTGCCAGTAACGCTCTGACCTGCATCTGGCTCCGAAGGGCGGCTCGGCTGCTTGGGGCCTTCCTGAGCACAGCTTCCAGAAGTGTGGCCTCCTGGCTGATGCCCGGATGTGGAGCCTCTTCTCACTTGGGTGCCTGACTCGATGTTGGCTCCTCCAGTCCAGTGTTCCTGTGCCAGGAAAGCACATTGGCCAATAAATACATCATTGTTTTGGTTTGGGGTTTTGGGTTGTTTTTTTTTTAATTTGGAAACTTGGAGTTTATTCATTTCTCCAGGAGGTAGAAGTAAAATACTTTTTTGGGACCTTGTGCTTGCAAGGCAGGCGGCGGAATCACTGAGCTAAATCCCCGGCCCATTTCTGATGTTTTTTTTGAAAGAACAGCTGCACCACCACTGGAACCCGAGAGGGTGATTGTTTTGAGACTTACAGGCTTGGAAAAACACACATATACAAGCCACCTCGCTTTATTTCACAGGAGGAAATGATTCTTCAATAACAGCAAGAGAATTGGATGGGTGATATTCATCGGCTCTTTGGAATCCATAGGCAGCTCTATTGTGCAGAAGGCCAAGGGTCTGTGGTCTACTTAGCTTTCCATTTGGGGAAATTTTCTCTAGAGGATTTTCTTTAGATCCTTAAAACCTCCTGTTTATGAGGCCAGGAGTTGTATACCAAATACGCCAGAACATACAGCTGAGCACTGAATGTTGAGCTTTTTTGTTGTTGTTTTCAATACTGGGAGCTTTCACACTGAGCTACATCCTTGGCCCAAAATAAAATATTTTATTTTGAGACAGGTTCTCACTGGGCAACAAGCCCATGTGAAGATATTCAACGTCGTTGGTTATTAGGTAAATTTGAACCAAAATCACAATGAGATACCACAGCACACCAACTAGGATGGCCATGATTTTTTTAAAAATGGAAACTGTCTTGACCAGGATGTAGAGAAATTAGAACCTGTATATTGTGGGACTGTAAAATGGTCCAGCCTTGTGGAAAAAAATTTGGCATTTCCTCAGAAAGTTGCACATAGCATTACTATTATCTGACCCAATAATTCCTCTCCTAAGCATATAATCCAAAGGATTGAAAAGAGCCACTCAAATGCTTGTACAGTCATGCGTGTAGCAGCACTTTTGCAACAGCCAAAAAGTAGAACAAACCAAGTTAAATGTTTATCCATTCATCAACTGAATGGATAAACAAATTGTGGCTTATACATAAATGGGATATTATTCAGTCATAGGAGGGAATGAAGTACTGATACACCCTACAATGTGAATGAACCTTGAAAACATTTTGCTGTTGAGTGCAGTGGCACACGCCTGCAATCCCAGTTGCTTGGGGGGCTGAGCTGGGAGGATTGAAAGTTCAAGTTCTGCCTGGGCAACTTAGTGAGACCCTGTCTCAAAATAAAAAATAAAAAGGGCTGAGGATGTAGCTAGAGGATGTGGTAGAGTGCCCTTAGGTTCAATCCCCAATACCATAAAACAACAACAACAAAACTATACTACAGTATGCTAAGTGAATGTCTCTGGACACAAAAGGCCACTTATTGGATAATTCCATTTATATAAATTATCCACAGCAGATAAATCCATAGAAACAGGAAGAAGAATGGCAGTTGCCAGCAGCTGCTGAATTGGTACAGGGCTTCATTTGGGAGTGATGAAAATGGTCTGGAACTAGATAGAAGTGATAGTTATGCAACATCGTGAACGTGCTGACCGCCATTGAATTGTTCCCTTCACAATGGTTATTTTTATGTCATGTGAATCTTACCTCAATAAAAATAAATGAATAAAAATATATCATGGATTTTCCAGTTCCAGCCATGACATAGTATCTGGTTGCAACCTCATGTCCCACTATGAGTAACTATAAAAGTGAGCAACAGCTAAGAAGCCACTGACTTCAGGCACCTGCCTGGTGCCCTGTGCGGACCCTTGAGATCAGGGTCGCGTGGAAGGCACTCCTCTCACAGGCTCCCCACCAGATAGGACGCTCTTGGCCTGCAGCACAGGTGCCTGGAGCCATTGAACTGGTGCAGAAAGCAGGGCTTGGAGGGGCTACAGATCAGAGTCAGGCTGTTGAGGCGGCAGGGACTTGTGGGGCTCAGGGGCAGGGGGAAATGTAGAAAAAAGACTAGAACTCTGGAAAGGGCTCCTATTGAGTTCCACGCATGTCCTAAACTGCCCAGAGTGACCTTTCACAAGGTCTAGACAGAAGAGGCTACAGGGATGGAGGCCAGAAGAGTGGGGAGACACAGGGTATGCGGAGGAGACCCCAGAAAGGCTCACCTCAGGGATAAGGACCACAGCCTAGGAGTAGATGCTACACCCAAGGAACAAGGACAGAACTGGAAGAGTCCCACCTTAGCCAAAACTGCAAGGTGACCCCTCCACCCTTCAACTTCCTGCCCAAATAAAATTCAACATGCTTTAAAAAAAAAGATTAAAAAATCCGGAGTCTCTATGATCCATCAATCATAAAATCAAGAATTAATAAAACATTAATACCCATTTTTCGGTTCCTTTATTTTTGGCCTTTGTTCTGAGATGTGATTAAGTTACTTAGAGACAGTTTGATTCTTTCAATTTTTTTTCCAGTAATGGGAATGGAAGCTGGGACGTTGTGCATTCAAGGCAAGCACTCTACCACTGAGCTATACCACCATACTTTTTTTATTTTGAGACAAGATCTCACTATGTTGCCCAGGCTGGGCTTGAACTTGGTATCCTCCTGCCGCAGCCTCTTGAGTAGCTGGGATTACAGGCATACACTACCATGTTGGGCTTCAGGTTTTGTTTTTAAGCTCTGTCAGGTGGGATCAGAGCAGCAGTTAGTCTAGGGCTAACTTTATTCCATCTACCATTTGAGAGGAAACTCAATACCTAAATTAGAGGTTTTCTGTTCTGCCAGAAAGAAGAGCTCTTCCCAGCCCTGTGTAAGCTTCCGGGTTGTTCGCACTACTGCTTTGGTATAGATATGTTTTTAGTCTTGGGTAATTTCCTTACGTGTAGCTGAGGACTTGGAAGAATTCCCTAAACATCTCCAGAGCTCTGGCCCTGTCTCTGTCGCTGTGCAGCTCCACCCTCTCTAATACTCTGTCCTATGACATCTAAGTACTTTGGCCTCCCAGACTTCTGGTTCTATACCCTCAGCTCAGGGAAACCGCTGGGCTCTGTTTGGGCTTTCCCTCCCTGTTCAGAAGCTTGAAATCTCTCTCCAGGCACAAAGCTGAGCAATCCTAGGAGGCTCTCCTTGTTCTCCACCCTCAATTGTCATTAGTCACTGTGGCCTGATGTCCTGCATCTATCTATCTATCTATCCTCTATCAATCATCCTATGACCTGTATATATTCTTTCATTGCTCCATTTTTTTAACCTTTATCTTTAAAAATTAATTTTACTGGTACACTTTAGATATACATAATGATCACATTCATCATAAGGAATTTGTACCTGTACCTAATATATCTTGATTCTTCTTTTTTGCCCAATCCTCTCCCCTCCTTTCAACAAAAGCTCTGTTGAAGCTTATTTACAAAATCTCTCTTTCCCCCACTGCTCCTTATTTACAAAAGCTTTGTTTCCATTTTTCCTTCTAGTCTCTTTCCTTTACTTTTCCTTCCACACCTCCCCTAATCATTCCATCTTGTCTCTAATTTACAATGAGAAATTCAACAATTTAGAGGAAAAGGAAAAAATTGTTGAAAAATAAAACTCTCTGAAATTGAAGTAAAAATCAGAATAGTTTTAGATCTGTTAAAAACTGAATTCCAGGGCCTGGGGATTTAGCTCAGTGGTTCTGACACCTGCCTCGCAAGCGCAAGGTCCTGAGTTCGATCCCCGGTACCAAAAACAAAACAACAACAACAAAAAAATTGAATTCCAGGCTGGGGGTATAGCTCTGTGGCCTAGCACTTGCCTAGCATACCTGGGGTAGATTCCCAGCTCTCAGAGGATAAATCGAATCCATGAAACTCTACAAAGAAAATCACAGGCCTATATTACTTCATTGATGAAATCTACTAAAAATTTAAGGAATAAAATACCAATTCTATGCAAAAGTTCTCACAGAGCAGAGAAAAACGCAAGGAAAAGACAATTCCCACTGCAGCATAGACCTGATATCAAAATCTGACAAGAATATTATGAGAAAAATTTAAATCAGGATCTCTTATGAACATAGGCATAAAAATCTTGAATAGCATATTAGCACATTAAATTCATCAGTGTACAAAAAGTGTATTCTGGCTAAATGTGGTTTATCCCAGGAACGCAAGGCTGGTTTAATATCTTAAGATCAATAAGTATAATTTATAGCCTTCACAGAATGAAGAACAATCATAAAATCATCTCAGTAGATGCAGCATTATGGAGCACTGGAACTCTCGCATAATGCAACTAGGTGTGTGAAATAGTACTACTGTTATGGTTTATGTCTAGATGTTTCCTCACCCCTGCCAAGCCTTGTGCGCTTTTGGGAGGTGATTGGATCACGAGGGTATGATAATCATCGGTGGATTCGTCCACTGATGAGTTTATAGCTCAATGTGATGTTGGGAGGCGGAACCTGGTTGGAGGAGTGGGTCATGGAATGGTTTACCACCCACTCTCCTCCCTTGATCTCTCTCTCTGCTTCCTGCCTGCCATGCTGTGAGCTGTTTCTCCTTTCTGATGCCCCTTTCCCATGCCACCCTGTCTTGGAGCCAGCCGACTATGGACTGAAACCTCTATAAACTGTAAGCCAAAATAAACCTTTCCTCCTTTAAGTTGTAGAGTCATGTTTTGTGTCTTAGTGACAAGAATGTAACTAAGACAACTACCACCTTGAAAATTATTTGCCCTTTTTTATTTTTAATTTTTAAATTACTTATTTAGTTAATTATTTTTCGGTACCAGGGATTGAACTCAAGACCTCACATTTGCCAGGCAGGCATTATGGCACTGAGCTACATCCCTGGTAGGCAGTTTTTAATAAAGTTAAACATATACTTGCCATATAACACAGCAACTCAATTCTTTTTTTTTTTTTTTCAGTACCAGGGATCAAACTCAAGACCTTGCACTTGCGAGGCAGGCGTGGTGCCACTGAGCTAAATCCCTGGCTCAGCAATTCAATTCTTAGATATATATCCAAAGGATATATATTTTTTCT